CTTTCATTCCTTTAGAGACAGCATGAAAAGTCAGCTGAGTACAAAACATAGAGAGGAAAACAAGAAGAAAAGGGAAGAGAAGAGAGGGACACAACCTAGAACAGATAATGGATGTCTATTCTATTTACATTTCTCTATCTGTAGAATGGGTCTGTTTTATGTGTTGTCTTCTCAATTCAGAGGGCACCCTGCCTGTCTTTGCCTAGGGCCCCAAATTTCCTAAATCTGCCCCTGGGTCCTGCTATGGCATGGAGGTAGAGTACATAACCCCTGCCCTGCTGAGATTTGGGAAATGTCTCTCCCCCCAAATTAACCTCCCTTTTCTGTCTCCATACTATCAAAAACAATCAAATTAAGGTCACTGGATCCTACAAATAAACAAAAAGAGAAAAGTTGACTTATTTCTAGATGCTTTTTGCAGAGCCGGCACCTAAAAATGACCTTAGGTATTTTCTATTCAAAATTATTTTTAACGACTCTCAGTTTTAATTTATTGTTGCTCAACGTGAAGCTGGTTTTATGCTTCCTTCCATTTTTTATTTATTTTTTGTATGTGCAGCTTCTGCTTGTTTAAGGAACAACACTGAGGTGCAAAGACGAGGAGCAAAATCAGCAAAGCAATTTCATGTCTCTTTTTGTATATCAGACAGGAAGAGCGCCTGCTGTGCTTTGAGTGTCATCAAAACGCTTGGCTTGTTTAGTTTTCCTGATTGTCGGCCTGTTTCTTCATCATCATCATCATCAGCAGCAGGACCAGCCCCAAACATTTCAGCTGAGCCTTTATTTCTCCTCCCGTCCTTTGGTGGTAGCAGAGGCAGGACCCTCGTTCCCAAGGGTCTTAAAAGAGAATAACTTGACCTCATCCATCTACTCACCCTGACCTTCTCAACACATCAGTAAAAAAGGAGAATCACCTTCTGGTTTGTTGAAAACGAAACGCTGCCATCGAAGCAAAAAGGGGAAAACAGAAGCTGCCGCTGCTCTCCCCTCAATACATACAGTATTATAATATATGTATGATGTCATTGGATATGGATTGTAAAATCAGCATTGAGATGAAATGCAGATAATGGCCCAGTTTTTCCATCTAACTGCATCCTCATATTATCTTCACACCGGAAGCTTTTTGAGGAGCAAAAAGCTTCTGCTGCTTCATTTTTGATGCTTGTCCACATTAAGGTCAGACGTCCAGTAAAGTATGTCCAGATGCGTCTGATGCTTCCGCTGCTCCTGCGCACCGCCGGTATGTCGGGGTCTGAGTGGCTCCCACAGAGAAATAATATTTGAAGGCAGGATGGTAATCTGGATGAACTGACTGCACAGACCATGTTTTCAGGAGGACTTTCTCACTTCAAAATAGATTCAAACTACTTTTTACCCACTGATAACAGCAAATATAGCAAAGCTGCTCTCTGGCATTGAGCACAGAAGCTTCAGACACATAACTATAAAGCTTATAGTTAGAGTGGCTCAGGTTATCCTGAGCTATCTCTATAGTTATGCTGCTATAGGCTTAGACTGCTGGAG